ATATATATATATATATATATTCATCCATCTATCTATCTATCCATTCATCTATCTATTTATCTATCTATCTATCTCTATGCCCTAACCTTTGCCTCATCATTTTCTCACCAAATTCAATTTTATATAAAAACTCTCAAAACCCTCTTACTAACCTTTTTATTAATAATCTAATCTCCTTTAATTAAAGACTTGGAACATTGATCTCACTTATTCTATTATTTATAACCATGCCCAACTTAGCTATAATTTTATTTTAATAAAATTACTACTAATATTTTCCTTATTTTCTACTATTTCTATTTAAATCCAACAATTTAATTAAAATTGCTTCCTCATTTAACAAATAAAATGACTACTTCTTGTTATTTTAATAATAATTCCAATTATTCTAGCATTATCAGTTCTGTTGTTTATTTAACTAATTAGAACTAAGAACGACCAACCCAAAGTACCAAATACTACTACTAACCACCCAATGCACATAGAATCAATTTAAATAATTAAAAACACACAATTTCAAATAAATAAATAAATTAGAAAAACAAGGTTTTACACAAACCGTAATTAGCTTGCCCGCTCGAGTATTTATCTTCCACCTAAAAACAATCCAACCAATCAAACTATTTTTTCCCGCCTTAGAGCGATCACAAAATTTTTCACAAACGCAAGATGTTTTATCCATTCTACTGTGATACAAACAAACGTTTAAGTCTCCCACGCGCGAGCATACAAACAACATTTAACCGCTAGAATGCGACATAAACATCATTCATTAAAAACAACCAACACATACATGGTTTTTTCTGAAGGACTATGTAACTTAGAATTCCTCATCGCACCAGAGGATATGTAAGAGCAAGACTCGCAATCTTGTCAAGCACCCAAATAAAGAACTCATTTTTAGTCTTTTTCTTGTTCTTTTCAAACTTTTAATAACTAGAAGAAAACAAATAACATTATGCTAACATTCTTTCGCAAAACTAACATAATGGTTCCCATTTAGTACAACAAATGTGAGGGATGCTAATACCTTCCCCTTGCATAACCTACTCCCAAACACGAATTTGGTTCCCGTTTATCGACATTTTCCATTTCCTTTTGGAATAAATAAACTTCGGTGGCAACTATGTTGTTATTTCGAGCATTCGTTACCCTGGGATATTTCACGACAGAGGGTCACCATGACAAGCGTCAGTTAGACATCATCTTCTTATACTCCGGAGGCCTATCATGTAATTTAGGTCTAATGTATACATACAATATGCATGGGATTAGCCGCTTCAATGGCATCTCTTATTTTGGCAGGAGGCGGAATTACCAAACGTCTAGCATTCCGAGTGAGTGATGTGCATGTTTGGCCATATGCATATTATTCTGCGACCCTCATATGAATAAGCTCCTCCCACTGTCCGTCATAGAGATCTTGATGCGTTACTTGACGATTTCGAGAGTCATCTAGTACCAGAGGAGTATTGTAGGGTACTAGCTCATGTACATTGGGTCTATGAAGACAAATACATGACATGATTTTATAGTGTGTCGCACCATATCATAACACCAAACGCTCCTAGAAGACTATCTAGGCAAGCTAATCAAGAGGTACTTGAGGCTAGGGATGTCCATATTGAGGACATGTTAGCGGTCTGTCAGCGTGTTATGTAGATGGGTAGAATATACATAGAGGCATACCTTTTTGAGGATGGCAGTCCCCAATTGGTCCTTGTGGAGAGCATGATTGTCGAGTTACGAAATGTTGTGCAGTACAGGCGGAGGAGAATGCAGGGGGTTAAATAGTTTATGTTTAGATGTATTATATTTTTGTATTTTTGGATAAACGTTATGTATGGTCTTGAATTTTTTGGATTCACTTTAATTAATGTACAACTTTTTATTTTCATATAACTTGAGTTTAATTTAATAAAACTTAGCCTTAAAAAATTACAATGTTGGGATAATGACGTCGGTATGAAATGATTCAAGGGGTTTCTGGAGATACATCTCCAAAAAATTCCCTCTTGTAACTAACGCACTTCCAATACCTTTTAAAGAACTTAAGGGAACATTTCTGAGATGCATCTTCAGTAACACCCAAATAATATACAGAAATGCATCTTTGGACAATATCTTGTTCAAAAAGGGGTGGATCTCATAAAAGCGAAGTCTGGTTTGATTTTGGGTACCTCCACATTTCCAGACACATGAATGGCATTTTTAAAGTTTCTAGAGGTGCGGGATGCACCCCTAAGGGTGAAAAGAGCATTCTCCTATAATTTTTGGATTTCTTAATGCACCGTATGCTTTACTAGCAAACCTCATTAAAATACAATAATACCTCCAAATTCCGGAGATGAATCTTCAGACGCACCCTAAACACGTACAACTAAAGATAATTTTGAATCACACCTCAGTTTTGTGTCTATTTTGCATCGAAGATTCATTTTAGTATACCTTGTGGAGTTGCATTTTTGTAGCATACTGAAGCTGAAGCAAAAAAGTAGAAAAACCAACAAATTGTAGGTTGAAAAAATACCATTGATAACATAAAATAAGAATTACATAGGTGATGTTAACACAAATCAAATATTACATTTCAATATTTAGATGGATGTTTCAACATCATCATAATATCTTCGACTAATCTCAAAATCATCGCATCCACCTCAATTAGAACTTTTGTTTCTAAACAGAAAAAGTATTCCACATAGCACTTATATATGCACCCGTATTCAGATCAAAGTTGCTGAACTCAATCTTCCCTTCGTTGTCAATTAACGGTGAACGGTACTCGAGCTTCACAAATTTTTCGATTAACTCTGTACGGTAGGGGAGTTTGTAGTATACATTTCAAATCTGCAACAAATGTGTACTCATTGAGCTTAAATTTAATTGAGGGCTTAGTGTCGTTGAAGTAAACATATGCGACACACCAATTGGTGTTCATTATGGTGTAATATATTTTGGTATAAAACATGAGATAAGAGACCAAACTTATAATAGTTGTAGACAAATACAGACCTCTAAAACTCTATCTTGTACCGAAGGATGTTTCAAAGATGCATCTCCAATACCATCCTATTATCTTAATCTAGAGATATATTTTTGAAACCTCTCAGAACAGAATGTAATTCTGTTCCAGACAGAAACATAACATGTATTAAATGTATATATGAAACAGAAATATAACAAGATTACATACAATACATTGTTAAATAAAAAAACTAAATTGAGCTGAAACATTTGTCGTTGGCTAAATCTATATATATGGGTGGTATATCCTTTGAATTTTGTTTATTTGATTCTCTTTTAATCTCACTTAATTTTTTGAGCTCTTGCATCCTTTCCATAAAATGGTCCACCAAAGTCTCGACTTTTATTGTTGAATAAGTTGTCCACTCCGGTGATGTAAATGGTATATGGCATCCCGAATACAAATAAACTTGAACAAAGTTCCACATTTTTAAAAGTCACCCAATACACATTGTACGATCATTTGGATTTTTAGGTGGGGCGGTGCACTGTGGAAAAAAGTTTTCGAGAAATCATATCTTTTAATATCATTACACATTATATCATACACATTTTCTATGAGATGATCCATTTTAGGGAAGCACATTCGTTTATCCTCTGGTGTCAGTCCACTAATGAAAGGAATAAGAGATTCATAAATTGCATCAAAATTCTTTTTTCCTCGTATTGCCCTATGTATGATTCTTTATGGTCCCTTAATTATTGGATAAGTTGATGGCGGACAAATGTGTGATCTTTTTCTCTTTTACCTAGCAAAGCAGAAACAACTCGAAAACCACAGTTACTTCCATCCTCAAACCCTTGGTGAAAACCTACAAATGTCCATAGAATTCATAGATGCATCTCCGGACGCACCCATTTCTCACAAAATTGAATGCAAACGAGTGAGTCACCCCTATTTTCTTAATTTTAGTCTAGAAATGCATCTTCAAATGTTTATTTGATATATTTCAAAGATACATATCCGAAAATGACAATGATACTTCTAATCAGAAACAAAGACAATATGAGCAAAATCTAAAAACAAAAACAACTTGACATCAAATTAAAAAACTCAAGATCATAGTTAATCGTTAACATAAACTAACATTACATATAGCTATAAATGGGTAGTTAAGAATATTGCAACACATTGATAATATCTTCGACAGATCTTGCAATCTTCGCATCCACTTCAATCGCACCCTTTGATGCACGAGGGTAAAAGGTATTCCACATAACCTTTAAATCTTCACCCGTCTTCAGTTCAAAGTTGGTGAACTGTATCTTTCTTTCGCTGTCAAACGAGGGTGAATGATACTCGAGCTTTATAACTCTTTGATTTTTTAAATATTGCAGGAGAGTATTCGATTTGGATATCAGATCAACGAGAGGTGTGTCCTCGGTGACCATAAATTGAAGTGGAGGCTTCGCGCCATTGAAATACACAAATGTAAGGTGAGAATATGTATTTATTATCTGATTATGGTGTGTTTTATAGGATAGGGATGAGAGACACCCTGTTTATACAAGTTTTGGATCACTTTGGACCTTAGAAATCTTATCCTGCCATCAGGGCACTTTTTGGAGACGTGTCTCCAGATAAACTCTATTTTTTTACGAAAAAAATGGTGTTTACAGATATGCACATTCGTAAAGTAAATGAGTTCAAAGTTGTTTTCAAAATTGCATCTTCGAATACATCCCAAAAAATTTTGCAGATGCATTTTCAAACCATTTTTTGTCAAAGTATGGTGACTACGTGATTTACAAAGAATAAGATAATTTAAAATATGTTCGGAGATATATCTCTTAAAACACTTAAAAATAATTTTAAATTTCCAGGTGCGTGAACCACCCTAAAGGTGGTAAAAAGAAATTCTCTGATTTTTACACGAAAAAAGCCCATTTAAGGCCCACATCTAACCCCATCTTGTCCCCTAAAACAAGCGAGGCAGTGAAGTTCAATTTCTCAGCTTCAAACAACACAAAAAATGCAAACCTTTCGAAGAATCACAGCAACAGCAAAACAATTCACATCAAATCTCCGATTACAATCTACCACCCAACTCCCAACAACACTCCGTCAATTTTCGAGCCGCAATCCCCGGAGCGGCGAAGACGAATGGAACGAAGCGTGGGAATCCGCGTGGCTACCACAAGACCTAACACCGAAGACGCGAGCTCCATGGGAGGGTGACGTGAACTTCACTACAGAAGCGGACGCGGAAACGAAGGTGTTCGTTGAGGAAATGAACGAGAATTGGAACGATAGGAGAAAAGGTTCCAAGAAGGAGAATAGTGAGAAAGGTGAAGAAAACGGTGCGCTTTATAGTTTGGAGAATATTAAGAAGGATTATAGGTTGAAGAAGCAGAAGTTGCATGCTGGTCTTTGGACTAAGGAGATTGAGAAACTGGAAGAAGCTAAATTGGGGGATTCTGATGTTCCTGCTGGTGATGATGATATTCAGAGATTGCTTAATAGCTGCTCTGAGTATGTTTCTTTCTCTTTCTCTCATAGTTTTAATATGAAGTTTTAGTATTGCATAACCTACATTGACCCTAAATGCTATGAGTTTTAAGAGCCAGACATGTTCATAATCGATGGCTTGTGTTACTCTAGTAGAGTATGATTTCTGTCATGAGTAAAGATCCTTTGCGAAAATGTTATGTGTTTGCTTGCCTTGTTTTCTAATGATGAATCTTCTATTGTGTTTTATTCCTTTGTGTGCTATGATTATTGGCTAGTTCTTCCAATAGATTTAGCTTTAGGAGAATGTTCAAAAGTTCAAGATTTATTTTATATTTCGAACATGCTCTTTTGTGTGTGTTTTGGGATTGAGTGTTATCAAATATCCGCAATTGCGGCGCTATGGTGGGTATCCGTGCCGGTTTTTTGGGCTTGTCGCAATGGTAAATGTCGACCGATGTTGCGGATTTTTCTGCCATAACCCGCTATAACGGCACCGTATAGCGTCCAGAATGGTGGGATTTTGGCTCTCCGCCATGGACCGCTATCCACTATGGACAACATTAGGCTTGAGTTGTAGCACTCTCTACTTGTATTGAAATTTGACTTTTTTTAAATTTATTTTAATGTTGAAGAGATGGGATAACAAAGATTGAATTCTTATTTCCTAACCACTTGATTATGAAAGCGCTGAAACACTGTCAGTGACTAACTCATCTTGTAGCTTATGCTTTTTTGTGAAAGTTGAGAAATGGTTTTTTGTTTCTAACATGTGCCTTTTCATTTCTAAATGCCATCAATATTGTATTGTATTGTACCGCATTTTGAGAGTTGTTGAGAAAGGATAGAGAAACTACCAAATGACAAGCTATAAAGAAGTTGTACTGGTTTAACTGTGTAACATAATAGCCATGTTTTCCTTCAATTCAGAATTCCTTCGTTTATATATGTTTAGGTATTAATTGATGATTATGATTAATTAATTTTTTAAAATATACGAAGTTATTCTTGCATACCAACATAGTAGGTCTATGATATGATCTTTCACAGACACCTTGGATTTTTGAGGTCTCTTGTTTTTTGTTTATGTAGACATTAATGTCTCACAGCATCAACGGTATACTCTAGTTGTTCTGTGTTTCTCAAATGTTAACATGCCCTTTACTTTTTATGTAACTTGTGCATAATCCTTTTAACAACTGCAGCATCTTTGACTCCGGCAACAATGATCTGAACAACGCAAAAATTCCAACTTCTGAATTCAAAAACATGCCTGATGGGTGGGAAACGATATCCAAAAATCAAGATGGAAATATATGGGAGATGTCCCAGAGAGAAGAAGATATACTTATGCAGGAATTTGAGAGACGAATTGCTTACAGCAAATTTCAGGTACTTCTTAAAAGAAAAATATTGCAATGTTACCTTTCAGATCCTAATATGATGCATGTATTGTTTCTGCAAATCATGAAATCTATTCTTGGTTTTTCATGCTCCCTTATCATTCATTACTCTATAAAACTTGTATGCAGATTGCTAGTTTTATCAAGACTCACATATTTAGCCGGAGGAGGCCAATTGATGGGTGGAAATACATGATAGAAGTGGTAGGACCAAATGCTAAAAGAGGGAAGGGAAGTGTTTCTAGAGTTCCCAGTCTCTCTGATCCCTCTACCCAACCATTCAGAGAGGAGAAAACTCCAGCTGATAAGAATCACATTCCCCTTGGGAGGAGATAGCATGGTCAAGTAATTTAGGATATTCTCTTTTGATGTGCAAAGGTGGTCATTTTTTTTTATAATTGCAAGATCTCAGATTTGAATTAAAAGGATGGTTTATGCAACTTTGCCGAGCTACGACAGGAGACGGCAGAAAATCCAGGCTGCAACAGTTGTGTCTTGATTAAAATTCAAACCATCAAGGAAGTATTGAAGAAAGTAACAATATGGTGTAATACTTGGAGCCAAAAATGGAATTTTTTTCTATTGTAGTTGCAACCAAAAAAAGTAAGATGTATTATGTACAGTGACTAAAAAGACATTAATTTGGTTTATGAAGCTATGTATTTCTTTATTATAGGGTTAAACTAGATTGAAAACCACTGAACCCAAAACTAAGACGATAAATTAGAATACAAAAGTTTTTTTTCTTTTGGATTAACACAACAAAAGGAAGCAAATTTTAAGGTTAAGATCATTCTTGATAATTTTTCTTGTTTATTAGTACTTTTAAAATGGCCAACCAAATAAGTTTTGGATGCTAAATCAATTTCATTTATTTCTGTAAATTGTTGTCATATAATTCTATAAATTGAATGGAACGGTTTCCGTTAAACCAAATTAAGATCATTTCTCATAAAGATATCTAAAGATTGAGTATGTTCCTTATATTTTTTTCTATTGGAAGAAGCAAACGGGGCATAATGAGTACATAAACATTGTAGAAGTGATTTAAATAAGATACAATATTATGATTAACAAAATATTTTATTTTTTACCAATGAAAAAAATTGTGATGCATAATTATAAATAAAACATAATCTTATAAAAACTATTTATTAAAAGTGTATAATGTACTTGTCAAAAAAAGTATAGGTATAGGTGTGCATTGTATCACTACATGGGTATAGGATACTAGGGACCTTAATAGATTTATAACAATTTGAGGTGGTTATGGTTTGTCCACGGCGTCGAGAAGTCTTGTATGGTGATGTTACGGTGGTTTTTAAAAACATGCTCAAGTGAGGTGAGAGGTTATGTATAAGCGTTTAGCTTTGGATGCTAAGTTTAAATTATGATATGTCCTCTCTCCCATTAAGGGGGAAGTACATATATAGGGCATTTTGGCTCTAGGATTTAGAAATGCCTTAGAAGTAGTAACCATTTCCCTTGGACCGGGGATACTATTGACTACCTACCTTTTTTATGAGAGGTTGGTCCTTCAGCTCGAGGGGACTCCTTCAACTAAACACGACCTTGCTAATGAGAGGCAAGTCCCTCAACTAAAGATGACCTTATTGATGGGAGGCAAGTCTCTCAGCTTGAGGCGAGTCTCTCACCTGAAGGCAACCTTGTTAGTGGTAGGTGAATCCCCTATTTTAGGGAGGGGGGGGGGGGGGGGGGGGGAGGAGTCACCTCCCTGTGCCATATGTCTTTGAAGTTGCATATCTCAGATACATTAAGGGGGAGATCTTTAGGTGGTTTTTTTTGCTTGTCTTTAAACTTTCAATTTGAAATTAGATTTATATTTGAGTCTCCTTTTCAATTGCGCATCTTTAAGGATCGAGTTTTTCGTCTGTGCTTTAGCATGCATAATTCAAAGTGTTTGTATTTGAGTATGAACCAACTAATTAAGTTTTGGAACAGGAATTATAATTGAGATTGATTCAAGTTATGTCAAAAGTAGAATCTCAAAACACCATCGAAAATTTGAGTTTTTGAGATTTCGGAAGTGTGATTTGAATCACACATTCCCCTAAGTCAAATCAAACAAGGAAGAAAGACTTTCGGAAGTGTGATTTCGTCTCTCAGCCCTTCATAATGTTAAAAATCATATTCTTTTATTGATGATTTGAAAACTCACAAACACTTCCTCTTACATTTTCAAAAGATTTTTGAATCTTTATTGAACACTTTCAAATGATTTCTTTCATCTTCTATCTCTTTCTTTTTTCATTGTTGCATCGATCTGAATCTTATCTTGAAAAATTCGTGATTGATTGAGGAGTTTCATTTTGGATTTAATGTTTCTTTGAAGATTTGTTTTAAAATTTCAGAGACTTGCAAGAGTGTATGAGGTTGTAAGTGGTCGTGACGATTCTAGTGGAAAATAAGAAGGTTCTTCTCTTCAGGTTGACCTTTGTAGTACTGTGTGGAAGTTTACAGATAGGTTAAAAGTTCTTTTCGATCTTCGTACATACCAACACTCAAGATACCAGTGGAATTGTGTGGAAATTGTCACAAATAAGGACTTAGGAGTAGGTTGTTGGGGCTGGAAGATTCAAGAAGAGATCTCAAGTAAAGATTTCGCATATAGTTTAGTTCATGGACCTACGTACAAGTCAAGATCCAGAATAGAGGAATTTTTTTTCAACATTTATTTTTTGACTAAGTGATTGTACAAACTCATGTAATATTATTGCAAATCATATTGGAATACCGACGATTTTTTAATGGAAAACCATTGGAAGTGGATTAAGCACAAAGCGAAGACGAACATGCCAAACCATTATAAATCCTTGTGTAATCTCTCTCTCTCTCTCTCTCTCTCTCTCTCTCTCTATATATATATATATATATATATATATATATATATATATATATATATATATATATATATATATATATATATATATATATATATATATATATATATATATATATATATATATATATATATATATATATATATATATATATATATATATATATATATATATATATATATATATATATATATATATATATATATATATATATCATACACACACGTTTAATTTTGTAGTTGATCACATGATTACATTGTTGTTATTACTTTCTAGAATTGCATGCTGATAGGTTTATCTGTTAGTAACGATTTATTAAATAAGTTGTAGGTTTTGTTAGAGTCGGTAATTTGATCTTGTCTTAGTGTGGATTAAGTTCGAAGATTGTGATAGTAAAATCTTGTTAGTAATTGAAAATCATTCGATAACACATCTTGTGGAATTAAACAATTTTAGAAGTCAATTAGTTTGTACTTTGGTGAAATTCAGTAGTTCAATTAGATATATTGTAAACTCGTTAAGGACATTTGTGAATCTCTCAGTACAAGTATAATCTCTTTTACGCAAAATTTGCTTTCGCCAAGCAAATAAACTATGTTTTTGAAAACTTGTTAAAAACCATTTTCACACGAACTTTTAACTTGGGAGATCTATTCACCCCCTCTCTAGAATGTTCATAGTCCATATTCTCACTCAACATTCTCCTAATTATCCAAAATATAAGCTAGAAATGTCAATCAATCATTCAGAGTGTGTCACTTACTTCCATATAATGTAAGTAATGATGACTTATTTTTCGAGACGTTAAACGCCAGTGCCATGTGTTAGAAGTGTGTCGAGCTTTTCAAAATTATTGGGGGGGGGGGGGGGGCTAAAAGGTTTCTCTTGGTTTTGAGTCCCTTATAAAAGTTTCTACTTCCACTCCATTGCTCTATTTTGCTTCAACAACTTTTGCAAGCTCCTCTGAACTACATAACTCATATAAACCATTGATTCTTCGTTCACAATCTCTTTCCAGGTATTGGGTTCCATTTCTCTCCCCTCCTTTTGTAGTGAGTAGGGTTTATAAAAAAAATGTTAGAAATTGGGTTTAGGTTAGCATAGAGCTATAAGTTTTAAGGGTTGTAGTCACCCCTCTTTGACGATTGCAACAACGGTGGTGATTTCTTTTTTGTTCTACTATTTTCCCAAGAACAAAAAGGAAACGACGACCCCTTCTATCATACCTAAGGACATCAAGGACATTGGACCATATTACACTTTTGACGAACAAATCCTTCATTTCCAAACACGAATGGGGGGTTCCTCTTTAAAAGATGAAAAAATGGTTATTTTGGAGGCTTGTTCGTCGTTGAAGAAGGTGACCATGCCTGTATTCTATGATCCTCCCTCCCCCCCCCCCCCCCCCCTCCTCTCTCTCTCTCTCTCTCTCTCTCTCTCTCTCTCTCTATATATATATATATATATATATATATATATATATATATATATATATATATATATATATATATATATATATATATATATATATATATATATATATATATATATATATATATATATATATATATATATATATATATATATATATATTTCTACCACCCCCTTATCAAGGATTTAGGGGTTCTATTTCCTCTTTCTTCTTTTTCCATGGAGGTTTTAAGGGTTCACAACATCACGCCCTCTCAACTGTTCCCTAATAGTTGGGCTTTTGTCAGGGATTTTGAGATGGTATGTGAAGACCTGGAGATTACTCATATTGTAGGTGTCTTTTTCTCCTTTTATACTACCAAAACTACAAAGGGTAGTTGGGTGTCTTTAGGTGTTATGTCAGGGAAGGCCCTTTCCACATCCTATTCCAACCACTATGAAAATTGGAGATATATGTTCGCCCATGTGAAAGGGCGAGAGGGTTCTCTTGGAGTGTTAGGGGCTGATGACCCTCTTTCCCTTAGCTTGGACAAATGATCTTGTGGCAATTATGATATATGACAAGAAATACCTTACCCTTGAGAAGGTAGGGATTATTTTCCTCTTGAGGAAGTTTGAAGTCATGGAATCATGCATAATAGTTAAACTATGGTTGGAGGGCGGCGATCAACTCGTTGTTTATCTAGGTAAGTTTTGATACCCCATTTTCTTTTGTAGGTATTTTTGTACAACATATATGACCTTTGTGTAATGATTTTCATATGATATGATGCATATTTCCATTGAGGAGAAGAAAGGAAGATGGGACCAGATCCAGGACGCCCATGGGGACACTGATAGTCCCGAGAGTCACCCAGATGGTTTTACCAAAAAGGGAAGGAAAGGCAAGCTGAGGAATGAGATCCCAATTTTCCCAGTGTGAAGGCCTAGAGGATGTAATAAGGTTTTTCTCCCGTTGTTGGTATTATCCCTCCCGTTTCAGGGAAGGCGGGTATTCATATGCCACTTGAAGGCGAGGTTCCCCTACCTATTCATACTTTATGG